TACTTACAGTTGTTAGATAATGAAGTAGATATAGAAATTGATTGGAAGTATGGCAAAAATGTCATCTTCCACGTCACCAAGGCATAAAACCAAATCGCTTTTTTCCAAACAACCTTGTTGTTTGTTGCTTAATAGAGGGAAGAATCCTGGAAAGATGGGATTATATGTTTACTTACAGTTGTTAGATAATGAAGTAGATATAGAAATTGATTGGAAGTATGGCAAAAATGTCATCTTCCACGTCACCAAGGCATAAAACCAAATCGCTTTTTTCCAAACAACCTTGTTGTTTGTTGCTTAATAGAGGGAAGAATCCTGGAAAGATGGGATTATATGTTTGGTAATCCACCCAAATATTTTTTGAGGGAAGGTATTAAGGTCAGCATGACTTTACATGACATGATTTGTATTCAAAATTTCTTTTACTTTTCGGTCCATATTTATTCATTCTTCATGTCACTAGTCATACACCATTCAGGAGAAGTTATAGATTGTAGTTAATGAGGCAAGGATGACCGGAGTAGCAAATTTGGTTGTGGAAGCAAATAAGGAGATGATGAATTTGCCTGGAATCAAATAAGGAGGTGATGAGAGTTATAGCTCAATGGAGAAGATAGCTCGTATAGAACTGAATGGAATGAATAGGATTCATGTAGATGACCAATAAAAATTGGAATATAAAGGCTTTGTTGTTGTAATTGTTGTATTTATCCATTCTTCCTCAAACTTAAGCTTCTCTTTAAACTCTGCAGACCCGAGGTTACTTGGATATCAGAGACACAGTTCAATGCGTAGAGCTCGCAATCGCTAATCCAGCTAACCCAGGTGAATTCCGAGTCTTCAACCAATTCACCGAACAATTCTCTGTCAATGAGCTTGCTGGCTTAGTCACCAAAGCAGGCAAGAAACTCGGACTCGACGTTAAGACCATATCGGTTCCGAATCCTCGTGTTGAAGCTGAGGAACACTACTACAATGCCAAACACACGAAACTTGTGGAACTGGGTCTCAAGCCTCATCTTCTATCAGATTCTCTTCTAGATTCTGTTCTCAATTTTGCTGTTAGGTACGAGGATCGTGTTGATACTACGCAGATAATGCCGAGTGTTTCTTGGAAGAAGATTGGAGTCAAGCCTAAGACTGTCTCTGTTTGAGTTTCGTCGTTAAAGCAATTGGAATTCGGTGAAATATGATGTCAATACCATAAAGTTGGCATTAATTCCAAGGTGAAATATGATGTCAATACCATAAAGTTGGCATTAGCTACGTTGTATAATTATAGTTCAGGTTACTAGTTACAGGAAAGTGACTGGTGTGTTTATTTTGATGTGAGAATGTAGAATCATGTATGTTTACTCCCTGACTCAGAAAGAATACCTGGAGTGGATGTTTTTATTTGTTTCTGTTATCTTAAACTTTTGAGTTGAATAAACTTTTTGAGGTTCTTATCTAGCAGAATTCTCCCCTGAGGATCCTTATTTCTCAGTATGTTCAGATTCAGATCATAGTTATTGATGCCACTTCAAAAGAAAGAAAGCATAGATCCATGTGATTGTTCTGTCAACAAGTATAGTATACAGCAATAGAAATTTAATAACATGAAAGAATTTGAGGGAAGCCACCAATAGAAATTTGATATAAAGACTTTGTGATTGTTCTGTCAACAAGTATAGTAAACAGCAATCAGAGAAAAACTTTTAATATTTTATTTACGAAACACGAGAAAATTTACAAAACTTGCCTGAGTTCCAACTCACAAATCAGGAAGATAAAAAAAAGGGATAACAATCATAGTAACATCAAACAACAGATTGATTGCTGCATTCTTGTTTATGTATTTTTCACAACTGCAAAGCTCCCATCTTGAATCAATTGTAAGAAGCCTGAGAGCAAAGCTCGGGGGAAGAATACAATAGAGAGGATTTGCAATTTATATGCCTCCTCCCATCTTGAATCAATTGTAAGAAGCCTGAGAGCAAAAAGCCAATTTGCATACAACCTTGATAGCCAATTCAGAAGATACACATAACAAGAAAAGTCCAGTAGAGAATAACTGAGCTGATTCCATTCTCACAAGCCAATAAGCTTTCTGTTGTGCAGATGTTCAGAATGCCCTTCGCCTTCGTGATCATGGAAAATGTATGTTAATATTCCCACCAGGCACAAGACTGATCCTACAAGAAGCTTATCATTGCGCTCAACCCAGTGAAACTTGATCTTGCTAGCCCCATAATATGATAGGGCTACCAATGAGGTCATCACAGTTATAGTGCTGCAGAATCAAGAGCATGCAAATTAAAAGAGCATGCAAATTAACTACATGAATTTTAGCTTTTAAGACAATGGGAAAAAAACTATTTTCTTTAAAGATTGGGACAAATTTCTGAAAACTACCACGAGCTATTATTAGTTCAGCAAGGAAAGTACTGTGAACTATAAATTATCACAAATTTCAGAATCAGCAGAAAATCCCCAACGACAATACATTTAGGGTGCAGTTAAAAAGACTCAAATGTCCTATCACAGTTTCAAGAGGGTGAGGATGACAGAGCAGTTATAAGGAGAAAATTTTAAAATAGACTATTTTGTAAATACTTGTAAAAATCGACCCACTTAGTATTTATTTACCAAGAGTACCTACTTTAGACCATGTTAGTGCCCTTCACTAAAAAAAGTCGCGTCTGAAATGTTGAACATTTTAAGTACCCAGGATTCAGAATCCCAGGTAATTATCAAGCTCACTTAAACCTAATTATTCCCAACTATTACCATGAGTTATCAGGCACGACTAACCGTCTTTTGTGCATTTATTAGGGGTTTACATGCGCACCCATCGTCAAATTCTTAGCATCCATACACACGAGGATATGGGGTGAGCTAGGACCCTTATCGATTAACTTGGTATCTTTGCCTTGTGATTAAATTGTCAAGTTCACGGGACCCGTGATCTCGGAGACCTAAAAAATAAAAAATTTGAAAATCAACCGACACTCTATCGATATCACTGACGTGGCAAAAAGGTCAGTCGCTTTTGGCAAAGAAAAACTAAGTAGGTTGAATTTTACAATTAAATCTCAATATTAGTTTTTTTTTTAATTTTGTCTGTAGTTATAAACTAACTGAGAGCAAAATAGTCCAAAAAATTTATGTGCTGCACGTGACACCTTTCACTAACAAAAGGTAGACATGATAGTTTTATGAAGGAAGTGCTGGGGTAGTTTCCTTCAAAATCTCAAATAGTTTGCAGTAATTTTGTGAAAATTCACCTTAATGTGTATTAGTCATATGGAGCTCTTTGTAAATGAAGATGTTCATTACAGCTTGAGACATTTTTGGCACTCGAACTTTTTTCAAAACTTTGATTTTTTATTTTATTTTATTTGTGCTATTAGTTTGGGATTGTTACCTGGGATAACAATGGCTGTCCTCTCATCATCCAGTCGTATTGTTTGATCTTTGGTGTTATTAGTTTGGACCTGTTATTTGAGACCGAGGACAGCAATAATATTAAAAGGTCCCATCCACCAATTCAGACTGAAGTTTGTGATTCAGATTGAAGTTTGTGGCTGCGACTGGGACTTTTATCTTGTTTGGTATTTGATTAAAGGAGCACATAGATTGTGATCCCAAATTAAGTTTTTAAGTGAAATTATGTTCACATAAATAGGCCATCGTCAGGCAGGATCTAGCTCCATACTGGCCACTCCCACTCTTTATATAAAAGAGATTGGAAAGTTGTCACACTCAGGCTTTAACAGTCAGATTCAAGAAAAAAAAATTGCGATGAATGGATAGTCTGATTTGAATCATTCGATGCAAGAAACCTCAGATTTTACTGAGACAGATTTGAGTTTATGGGTACCTTGTGCTACACAAACATAACAAGTTTACCAGCACAAGTAAAATAAGAAACCAAATACAAAACCAGCACAAGTTTACCCGATAAACATAAAAGTAATTTAAACCATACTCCACAGCTTCATTAAGTACCAACATGGTCAAATTTAGAGTTCCAGTTCACCAATGACAGAAGTATATTGTTTTCCGGTAAAAAAAATCAAACTTAAAAGAAAATGAAATACCTGAAAAGAAGCACAATAATTGCGAGGATCATCATGGAGGATGAGTTACCAACTGCAAGAAACACAGGAAGCGTCGTGGCACAAGGAGAAAGAGCCGGTACAAGAACAAGCCCAGCTACAGCCATCTTTTCCATCGGATGACCGTGTGAATGACTATGACCACCCTTTCCCAGGGCAAACAATAGTATGTAACTCCCTCCCAGAAGTACAAGTAGAAGGGAAGCAAGTCTGTGCACTGTTTCCTCACCGGCAATGGTATTAGCCATGGTGATTGCAGTTATTCCAAGAAGTGAGGTTGACGTGACATGCAATACAGCTCCAAATGCAGCTGTAGTTTGACAAGGTTTCTTTAGAATGCTTCAAAGAAATGAGTGATAGGAACTAAAAATAGTTTGAAAAAAAAAACCTCGGTGGATAATTGTAAATTGCAGATCTATAATATTCTAAAAACCCCCCAGGAAAAAACTATCATCCATGTATTTTTAGTTCTCACACCGTTACCCGCACCCAACTCATTTATTATAGAATGTATTAAATCATAATATCATTTAAAAAAAGTGCGCAAAAACATTGTAAGAAAGCCTCATGCATCGCCTTGATAACAAATAGGGTTAACTTAAAGCTCTGGAAGAATTTGCAACGGGGTTTCGAATTTTGAAGACGTCAAAGACGAATGACGGATCAAATAACAGCAGCCGTCTATAGAACCTATCATAAAACAGTAACATTGCCAAAAAAGGCAACTCTTTTTCGATTTTAAGTGAAGCTCATGACACGAGATGGTATCAAGAATGAACATTTCCGGCCTCAACTTCAAGATCCGAGAAATCAAGAACGGAAAAGACACGGAGTGCAAATGCTAATGATGAATGAGGAATCAAATAAGAAGCATCGATCTGTATAAATATCGGCGTACACCGGCAAGAATCGAAATTTTTTGCCTCAGTTTCAAGGTCCAAGAAATCAAGAACTGAAACAAGGCAAGATCCCCACCAAACCAAGCCAGTTTCATCAAGAACTTAGAATTATGGAAAAATCTAGCTCAGATCTACAAGAAATTGAAGAGAGACGGAGGGGGTGGGGGTGAAGACTCACTGACGAGGAGAGTCCTGGAGAGGGTCCACTTCTGAGCGCGGCCGACGATGGAGAAGGGGAGCCAATGCGTCGGGATGAAGGAGTGGAGGAGCGACACCGTGGCGATCCCTCCGATCTTGGGGAGATCCTCGAACCCTATCCCCTCCATTTCCCCGATCGCAAGCATCTCGACCAATCCTCAGAAATCTAGGGTTTTCGAGATTTTTCCTCTTTTTTCCCTTCTTTTATAGATTATTTTTAGGGTTTCGAGGGAATGAAGAAATTAAACGGGTCAGAGAACCTCTCTCAGTTTGGTGGTGGGTTTAAAGGCTAAATTAGCACTTAATGACACTATTAACGTCACCCTCCCACTAATTTTGGACTTTAATCTAATCTTTGGTTGAATTCACTGTTAAAACATTTTAATAATTTCGCAAAATACCCTCTACACTTTTGGGCATTTCGCACGTGACCCTTCCTAAACTTCCTTTGTCTCACGTAACCCCTTGAACTAGGAAGTCTCATAAAACAGTCGGGACGCATTACCCTCGATGGGTCCCACGTCTTGTATCGCGCCAACAGGCCCTCGAGTCCAGGGCGTGACAAAAAGCTTGCAAATATCAACTTTTTCAATCGACGACACTCAATTAACGAATAACTTAAGCTCAACATCATATACAAATCTTCCTACTTGCAAATATCAACTGTAACTTGCTGAGTTTGCAGAGTTTTGGTATAGTGACAGGGTGCTTATCGTAACTTGCTGAGTTTGCGGAGTTTTGGTACAGTGACAGAATACTTTCACAAAATACTTCGACAAGATAGAATAAGGGCGTGTTCACTGAATAACTTAATCCCCTTTGTTCCATTCCTCACAATTTATTCGAGACAGAAAAGTTTCGTTGCTTATACATAAGCACAAACCCACAACACCAGAAAAGAAAAAAAACACTACTCCAGTACAAAAAGTTTCACAAAAACTCTTCAATATCATGTATAAAATCAACAAAATCCTTTCTCAACTCTTCCCTTCAAAAAGAGAAAAAGAAAGCCGCGATGTCGAATGATGCCCTTCTTCAACGTGAATTTTCACAGCGAGTCAGTTGATTATTGATCGTGCGATGGGGATGATTCTCCTGTAATATTAACGAACAAAGATTTCCACACGTTCACCGTTAAAATTTTGGTCGCGTGAAGAAAAAGCATCACCAAAGAAACTCTATTAAGATAAACTACGTCACCAAGGAAAATAGCATCAAGAAAACTGAAGTTCTAGGACAGAAATAAGTAATGTACTGAACTACTGATTTTGATATCATGTCTCACCTGAGTATGTTCACTGAAGTTTATTGAATAGCCTCGTGCAGAAATCAAGAATCACATCTGTTTCCTGCATTCTCACTTCTCCAATAGCTAAAATACACAAACTGAACGAGTATCTGACAGCAAATTAAGGAAACTATAATCTCCACCTAGAACCGGTTAACTATGATAGAAGCCTGGAACATTATTACCACTTTGAAAATAGAAGTCAGAGAAGCATCATTGGTTATTTTAATGGTTGTTGCCATATTAGAATCCCAAGCTCAAATCTTCATATTTCTAAATTAAAATAATAAAACACGGGTCTTATTCAAAGCAACTTAATAGATTTGAGGGGCTTATCTCAAACAACTTAAGAGATTTGGGGGTCATAATTAAAACAACTAAACGAGTTTGGGGGTCTAATTTAGAAATACTGATATTGGGGAGGTCTAATAAAGAGTCAACAAAGATTTGAGGATCTAATTTACAAATATGAAGATTTGGGGGGCTTAATGAACAAAAACCCCATTTTATTTCAAAAATAAGTTTTAGCGAGGATGTGAAGTTAGTTTCAATTAGAAGATGGCTAAAAGGATACAAAGGAATCCAGAAGAACACATCCTCCTGCATCGACTAACCATGGCATGTTAGGCCTGATTTTTGACCAATCCACACTATTCACAAGTATACTGCACCAAGAAAAAAAAAGGTCCATAGTTCATATACAATCCAATGAATAATAATCAATAATATTAGAATCAAGGAAATTTTTAAATAGATCATGTGAGAAACATGTCTGAAACGTAAAAAAAAAATATATATATATATATATATATATATATACCTCCCAACATATGTGGCATTTCCAATCAGCGCAAATATAAACATAAGAGGACTGAGGCCCTGCGGGAAAATACCATCTCTTTTAGAAGGTGAGGGATTAGAATGCATAAAACTTTTTAGTTTTTATCATAAAAGGAAAAGTTTCCGTATAAATAAAGCTCAAATTAAAATTGCACATGAAGAGCAATATCAATGCATATACTTCAGATAAGTGTCTTCATAACTCAGAAATTATGAACAGAGAAAAATCAGTTATAAGAAAAGCCCTGATGAAAAGCATGAGCTGAAGTTACTTGCCTCCACATTGCCTCTTCTAATCTGTAAAAAGTAGAAAAACTTAATATTAACTTATGCACTCCTCAAAATATACACGAAAGTCGTACACGGATGACATCAAAATTAAAGGAACATTCCGGAGTTCGACAACCAGTAGGATAATACATTAGGAACAAATAGGATAATATATTAAGAACAAAATGATTCAAGTTATAACGTTCAGACTCACATTTAAGCAGATTTGCGGAAGCCGCCCTCCCATATAAATAGCTGCCATTGCCCAGCCAAGAATGGTTCCAATTTCGCTTCCTACACCACCATGGCCTACTGAGGAGCCATCAGCCTGGGACTGTAAATAAACAATAAAAAATGAAGTTTCAAACTTCTTCTATTAGCTTTAAGTAATTGAACCTTCAAGAACACTGGCTAAAGATTTAACACATACAAGATTCCAGTTACCTGTAAAAGTTTGCGGCCCACCATTATGATCATGCCAGGAGGCGATTTATCGAAAGTGTGACTTGTGGATATATGAAAGTGATAAGTACAAAGGAGAAAAACTGATGAAGAAACCTGGAGAAATTAATGGGAAAACTACAATTAAATTAAATATTAAACCCAAAAAAAAAAAAAATCTTACTGAAAACTTAGTGTTAAATTTGGATTTTTTTATATTAGTCCATAAATCTTTAATATTTTGAAATTAGTCCCTCAAATCATTCAAATTGATAATAGATCCTCCAATTTTTAAAATTGATCCCTTATATTATGAAATTTCTATTAGGTCCCTCAATTCTCATAATTTTTTTTATAACTAGCAATTGGATGGGTTTAATTTGACAAGAGACTTGGGGGACCTAATAGCAATTTCAATGATTTGAGGGACTGATTTTAATATATGAAAGATTTAAAGAAGTAATATTGAAAAAACCCTTTAAATTTTAATCTCACCACACAAAGCATATTTTTAGTTGTCAAAGCCGGTGCAGATTGTGCAGGACCGAGTCTACCAAGTAGAGGCTCTCTTGGTGAGTTCTGATCATGAGTGAGAATAGAAGGTGTTCTTCCAGAATCTCGTGTGTGTGCTGACCAGGTTCCAGTTATAGGTACTGGACTCTTTGATAAAGAACGCGCCGACCTGGAAATTTTCTGATTAGAGATTTCTGACCATCGCATTTATGAGGTAAGCAACTTTTAAACTACAAACGTCAAATCTTCAAAACTATGACTTGAGATGGTCACAAACTGAAAAAACTGACAAGGAAATTTCAAAGAAAAAAAGAAAATTCCAACCTGGTGAAATATGCCATCAGGTAATGTTTCTTAACTTTCAGAGAATGCTATAAGAGGCCATCTACTTAATGGAAATGTGCCAATTTGAATGTTTATTTGCTGGAAGCAACAGAAACAAAGATTTGCTTTCTCAAAGGCAGTTCTATTTATGTGAACTAGTGATTCGCATGGCAATGTAGAGACATTGGTTGGCTGGTCCGCGATGAGGAAACAAAAACAGAAAGTGTGCAGATGCAACGAGATCGAGCCTTACATGTTTGGCGTAATAGAAGCAGTTCATTTATTAAAATCTAAGTAATAATTGTACAATACAATTCATATGTCATCCAGAAGAGAAAGAAAACATACAGATGGTGTCGGTAATATGATCTGACAGTAAGCAATTGCATCACCTCGAAGGACTTTAAGATACAAATAAATTGTAAAATGGTGATTTTCAACAATTAAATTTTATACAATTACAAAAATATTGCAATGTTCCCTTTGTTCCCTACAGTGATAGTTTCTCTAGTATTTAAGATTACTTTATTGATTCCAAGCATTGTCCAAGTTCAGAGGTTAAATACATAGCATTTATTTAGAATGGTATAGATCCATGGTGATTTGCTTAACACTGCAATTTTTTGGTCATAATATATCATATAACTACTTATATAATCCCGATATACCAATTAAAAATCTAAAAATAAAGAAAATCATTCAGATAAACAGATTACGTGTAATATAGTGAAGAGACCGAAATTGGTGAGCTAGCAACATGACAAACTTCATTTACGTGGTCAGATCCATTGGCTTGATCATCATTAGTTTTATCTTCTTTCTCGTCAATTTTGTATAATAGCTTCTCTTTTGCTAATGCATCCTCCAGTTTCTGGCTCTGGAACAATAAGCCAATGGTAGAATTAGCTAGACTTCACTTCTACTCTTAGTTTATCCTTTAATAATATGCTTCTAATACTAAACTACAGAGATGCAGTGGTATGATTCCACATTAAAGGAGACAAAGGACAAAGGTAGAGTTCGCTATAGAATCACAAAACTGGGAAATGATATATTACACAGGTGGGTACAGGAGAAAAAAAACATAACATTGATGTGAGACATTTTACAGCAATATAACAACATAAAATATTAAAAATGATATTCAACACTGAGAAAAATTCAGACATTTATTAACTAACAAAACTCATAAAGATAAATCACAAAAATAAATATAAAATGATACAAAAATGAAGAAATTAATTGGGTTTATCTTCTTTGATGAAAATTTTCTTGCAACCACATCCTCAAGTATCAGCACAAAGTCATTAAAATCTGACCTTATGGAGTAGACTAATTCTGTTAGCTTTCATCTGAGGGTAAATGTGACCATAATATACAGTTTGTCCTGTCAGAACCACTGTCGTAAACGTATACAACTGCAATTCAAGATGAATGGTATTCATTAAGAAAGGGGTTAATGACATAACAGATGACAACTACAGGAATTAAAGTTAAGATTCATACCACGGCCATATAGAACTGTGTTGGCAACTGCATTAATTAAATGAAAAATCAGTGTTTTCAAAAGACTAAAGTACGAATGCGTAGTGGTTACAATAAATTAGTGAAATATGTAAATCATAACTGGTTACAAACATCAAGAGGCCAATATGGAACTTACAGTTTCTGGCTCCAACCAACAGCCCATAAGATTGAAAAGGTCTCTGTAGATAGTAGGAGCTGGTAATATCAGTAACAAGAACTGTGAAGAAAATATCACAAAAAAGATCTATGCACATTAACACAAAGGTTTCCCTCTTGAAAGTAACGGTCAAGCAAGATGTACATCTAGCTAGGACTATTCAGAGCAGGGAAACTATTTCTAGCAACTCAAAGAGATATAACTATTCTTAGGATCAACTACAACTAGACAAGAAACTTAAAATGGAAACGGACGTGCAATCTTCATCTTTGTCAGAATCAGTTAGAATCATCAAGTAAGTAAACGTATTGTTACGAAGAATTCAGGATATGCTACAGAGCTAAAAATCACATACAACACAACCCTAGTAATTGGGCATAGAAATAAACACAATGGATGAGAAACAAGTCAATTACCCAACAATCCATGTCATCAGAAACGCAATCGAGAGGCCCTCAGTGGATTTCTCTTTGAAATTTGTTATGATCTGTGGAACTTCAGCTACACCCCAACTAAATACACTGACCAATCCAAGGGATAATGCGACACCATCCTTTGCAGTGCACAAGCAATACTTCAAGTAGGTCCATGCCCATTGAGAGCAGTGCCTATTTGGGGAGCAAAAGGGGGTTCTTCCTTTAGAAAGCAACATTTTTTTTTATCCTGAAACGATCAATTACATGTGCTAGTAAAGGAATTTCCAGAAGTACGCCCATAAAAAAATTACAAAAATTAGAAAACTGTAAAATCACTTTAGTAATAATGAAATACTACCACAACATTAAAAAGACTAATCAAAGATAAATTGTGTATCGTTATTTCGCTCGTATTTATTGCGGGGGGGACATAAATAAACCCCTTTTAAAAGAAAAAGTTACCCAAGTGCAGAAACTCCGAAAATGCCAAAATTAAAGAGACCCACATATCAACAAAAACAGGCTTTTTGAGGGGAAAGAAATGGCCTTTGCCCATTATTCTCTCGAAAAACAAAAACATTCTCTTCAACCATAGGAAAATAGGTAAGAATCGAATGAAACAAGAAAAACCCAGAAAATTTACCTGGGCTTTGGAGCTTGAGAAGCCAAGAACAACCCGAAACTCAAAACTTTTTAATGGATTTTCAAGGGATTAAAAAAAAAGAGAGAGAAAAGAGAAACAAAGAGTCCAGTGCCAAATGAACTCGGGAGAGGCCGGAGATTCCAAGGAAATATCTTTTGATGGATATTTCTCGACGAAAAAGTTGAATTGAATTAAAAAAAGCCAAAAAAAAAAGTAAATAAATAATGAGCAGATAATTTCGATCGAGTTGTCTGGTTCTGTAGCCACGCACCGCATCACGTGGATGACACGTGCAGAGGCAGAAGAGAGCATAACAAAGTCGGTACGCCGCATCATGGCCCAACATTTGAATTAGAGCCCATACCGTGATGGGCCAACTAGACATTTTTGGGCTGACATATAGGCCCATGCACTTACTGGTTCAGCATTTTCCCACAACATGATTATAGTGTCGCCAGCACAAATTACAACTAGAAGTACAACATATGGAATGTTAATGCGCATTGACAGAGCACAGAAGAATAATGTAAATGGAATGTTAATCGATGATCTGCATCAAGTAAGGTGTTCATTCCGCCGGTTTGGACCCCCATCGTATGGATAGCGGGCGGAGTTGCAGCAGGGAATGCAAAGAACAGAGATGGAACCCTCCGACCCGTCACGGATCTCCCTGTACTCTTGGCAAACGGCACATGAATAACAAGGTAAAGAGAAAAGGTAACGACATTGCCAACATTATTACTAAACGGCAAACTATAATGTAAAGTTACCATATTTTGTGGAGCCTAACCACTTGCTATGAGCATCGAAGTTTTCATATAATACTTTGTAATTTATTAAAAATGGTCATATAAGAAATCTTATATAATAAAATTGATTTAATACTAAATAGTAACATCGTTGTAATAACATCATTATTAGGGAAAATTCTTCATGGACCAGCATGTTCTTTACAATATATAAGTTATGCACTTTAAATTCTTGTGTTTTTAGAGCCAAAAAAGGTTGAATACGAGCCTCTAACATTTTGCTCTCGCAACAGCAAAGTCCACTTAGCAGATGTGAATATTTCAGATGAACTATATGTCTTATATACAATACAATTGCCCTAGGCAAGTGATTTATGATGACATTTTTCATTCATATTTTTTGGTGCAAGATTTGATAGGGACCTTGCATCAAAGGAAAAAAAGAAAATTTTACATTTAGAGCACATGGCGAAATATATTATAATCTCTATGCTCTAATTTCACAAGAAAATATTTCTTCATATTTTCGGTTTTTACTTTTATGATACAGAGAATGAGCAGTAAAATTGAATGAGAATATAAGATAATGTAAATATGAGTGAAACCACAACTAAAAATTAATATGAATATGAGTCAAACCATAACTAAAAGTTTAATAGACATATTGCGAGTAAATTCATATACGGAATTCCTTTGTGAATTGAATGATCATCCATTTTTTAAAGACTTCAAGATACTAATAAATAGAGATGTTGTACTAGATCAATGTGTTTATATCTCACAAATAGTAGATTACGTGACCACAGTCTGGGTTGAAAGGAAACAATGACAATAATTTATTTGAGAGAGAAATTATTGAGTTGATGATCAATCCCACAAAAAACTTTGGTTTCTCTTTTATTCTATTTTTATCAATTTAAATAATCATGATATTCAACCATATGCATTACACGTGTATCTCAACCAGTAACATATAGTTTCCCCATTGATGCAATTATATACCCTCATTTTATTTTTATATATCTTAAAATTAATAAATGTTGCACTTTAATATCTTATGTTCTAAAAAATTCCATGTGCTTACAAGTTTTTTTTAATTTGGCCCTTTATAATTGTTGAATATATTGTCAAACATACCCTCATTCTTGTTAAAGCCTACAGCAATTATAATTTAAAACAGGATTATAATGGGATTAACGGTAAATTCAGCATGCATTAGTGGTTGAAAAGTCTCGAAATTATCATGTGAGCATCATGTGGGAATTTTGAAACAACATTCTTACATTTGCACAACACAAAGTATTCAAGTTCGGATTCTATAAACTTCAAGGTGTATATGTGCTGTGAAGGCTGTTTGGTTCGCATTCTAAAAGCATGAAATTGTTTTCCATGCTCGCCGCATCAACTTTTAAAATTTTTAGATCCAAAAGAAGTTGATATATCCAAAAAAAAGTTTATTTATTTTTATGTTGGTTCCGTATGATAATTTATAAAAAAAAAGAGATACTCTTTCCGCTATGCTATCTTTTCATGAAACTCATTTTCTCTTTAGAACCTCTAAAATAGATTTCCATGTGTAATGAAATAGATTTCATACTTTTCTTGAGGTGGATAATTTGGGGCTGAGATTATAGTTCAGGAGATAATGTGGGGCTGAAATTAGCTCATGGAGGAAGATAAGTCTGAAAATAGCTGAAGAGATGAATGAACAATACTAATAATCCATTATGCGAGTGTGAGCTGATTTTTTTTTAATAAAAATAAAAATATCACCCATCAATATTTAACCGTGTACACAATGGAAACTAATTAACTTATAGATCACAACAATTTTAATCTCACATACTTGCATACTGTTAGAATTAGTGGGGGTTTATTTATAATTTATGCAAAACTATGGGCTCAATTCAATTCGAGGACTTTCTAGCAAAAGACGGACAAATTTTTAAAACTGACCCTTTTGGGTTTTTAATTGCAAAAAGTGACCGGTTTTGAAAATATTTACAAAATGTCGGTTTTTTTAAATTTTTTTGGGAAACTTCACGGGAGTTGAGTTGAACTCCCGTGAAGTTTTTCTCATAACAAAACTTCACGGGAGTTGAACTCCCGTGAAGTTTGAAATATTTTTTTTAAAAACCGACCCAGTTTCAATCAACTGGGTTCGGTTTTTATAAATAAGATTGAAATGGATCTTTTTTTGCAATTAAAAACCTAAAAAGATCGGTTTTGAAAATTTGTCCAGCAAAAGACAGACTCGAGCAAATCATGTCATCTGTCAAAAACCCCCCATCATTTATTGACAGGACTTCATTAGATTCCGTATTTTACGCTGAGACGACCCTTTTCTGACCCGCGGTAAATCCTCAACTCTACCCACCCCCTCGTTAACGATTCTCAAATTTACAAATCCACCCTCACTGAGAATTCTTTTTTCCGGTAAAAACCCTCCTTTCCCACAGAAGTACAATAAACCTTATCGAGGTCCGCCTACCTGTCACGCTCCCTGTCGCCAAACATCCGACCCGAACACTCCCCAGGAGGGGGGAACATCCGAGCATTCGATAAATTCTTGCGGAACAATCGAACTCCTCAAAAATAGTGCGAATTTTTCACTTCCCCAAATTCGTCAGCGATATAAAAGGACGACGGCCGGAGGAAAAGACAGCGTCAAAGCTTTGGCCTTTTGCTCTCGCGCTCATCGAAAGTCTCCATTTTCTTTGGCGAGAGGGAGGGAGGGAGCACCGAGATTGAAAACCCTAACCCTAGATTTCGATCTTGTTAGGGTTTCGATCTCCCGGAGCCCCCGATTCCCCTCCATTTCAGAGAGATTCCGATCTCGCCGGGGCTTCGATGTCCATTAGAGGGATGGGGGTCTTCAATAAGTTGAGGAATCTCGATGCGTATCCAAAGGTCAACGAGGATTTCTACAGCAGGACGCTCTCGGGGGGTCTTATTACCATCTTCTCTTCGATTGCCATAGTTTTCTTGTTCGTATCGGAGATCGGTAAGCTTCCTAATTTACCTCATTTTTGGGAATTTCTTTGATGTTTTTGTGTTAATTATATGGAAAGGAGGGAAATTTGAAATGGGAATACGCTTCTATATCTCCTTATAGGTATTTTTAATTTAAAATTTTGGCTTTGTTATGATTTTGATGGAAATGTACACGAAACTGGATGTAGAAAAGAAGTTGTTATGGTTGGGGAATTGACGAGATTTTGAGTGTTATTGTTATCTCTTGTGTTAATGAAGGGCATTTGCTACATATGGAAGGAAATTACCCTTTCTTAGTGTTTAATGACGTGCCTCTTTGAATTGCATAATAATATATACTTTTTGGTGGTTGTTAGACTAAATGAAATGAGGAGGAAATTTATGATATCATATCTTCGCTGCCGACTGCCGCATTACGTTTCTATTTAGTTATGTGCCTAGACATTTGTTTGATTCGTTTGCAGATGTGTATTATTACCTCAAACAATTCCTCGCAGTCATCTTTTATCCGTAGTTCCTATATTTGGACATTTGGTTGAAGCTCTTTAACATGCCATCATTCAAGTTGTTTAGAGATCATTTCATGCTTGAAAAAATAAAAATAAATCAAACCTTTACTTCTCTGCAGCCAGCGCAAGTTTTGATAAACTTAAGTAACTTTACCAGCTTCAAAGTTTTACTTGAAGCAGAAGACTTTTGTATCTAGTCCTACACTCCCTCTCTCTTCATGCACATAACGATTCTTTGCCAACTCTTTGTTGAGCTGTTGCCAATTATGTGATAATTGACAGCTTGCTCATTTCTAACTATGCAGGTCTCTATCTTCACTCGGGAACTCAGACAAAACTTGTAGTAGATACTTCTAGAGGAGAGAGATTACGTGTCAACGTTAGTAACTAATCCTCTTACAACTAATTCTCTTATATCTTGTTTAAGATGATTCTTGATGATGCTATGACATTAGATTCTTTAAGATTATTCTTCAGTGTATGATCACATATCTGTTAAACAGTAGAAAATCTTTTTTATCATCATCAATCATTACATTTCACTTGTTGTTTTGCAGTTTGACGTCACCTTCCCATCTGTTCCTTGTTCGCTTATAGCTGTTGATACCATGGATATCAGTGGTGAACAACACATTGATATAGTATGTTCAGAAAGTTCGCTCCAGATTTCTTTTCCACTGGCCTTTTTTTTAATTTATTTTTTTATTTTTTATCTTGGAGTTTTCTATCACTCATGTCACGTGCATGATTCTGAATATAATTCTTTTGTTCCATTTTATTTTTTTTACAGAGACACGACATAATAAAAAATAGAATAGACCATCTTGGTAATGTTATCGCGACAAGACAGGATGGTGTTGGTGCACCCAAGGTAGGTAACCTACTATGTTATACCAGTTTGTTTTTGTTTTATATATAAGTGAAATGAAACTTTTCCCCCTCAGTATGTAAGAAACATAATGTTATTTGTACTTGAGCTAGCACTGATGTGTGCCAAGATCAATTATAGGCATAGTCGCTTATATTGTCTAATATTGTGTCATTAGCATATCTCTCTCGTGAAACAATTGTAGTGAGGATTTTATGCATAGTCCTGCTTATACATGTATCTTACATTTTCCTACTGGGTCATATTGTGTGTTTGACAGTAGTGAATATTCTTCATACTTATTGTGCCCTGAGTTGAACAACTTTTGCAGATTGAAAAACCTTTGCAGAGGCATGGTGGAAGACTTGATCATAATGAGACCTACTGCGGTTCTTGTTATGGTGCTGAAGTGGTATGTATTTTTCCTTCGACTTAACTTGATGCTTTGTTATCATCCGACCTGTCCTTCTCATTTTTCCCTAGTGGAGAAGTGCAATAGCGCCATCTCATTGACGGTAGTGCAATATTATACATTTTTCAGTCAGATGATGACTGCTGTAACTCATGCGAAGAAGTTCGTGAAGCATACCGAAAGAAAGGATGGGGTCTGTCAAATCCTGAACTAATTGACCAGGTATAGCAAAATTTTGGAATCTTCAGCATTTTCCTCGTGCGTTTTAGCATAATTTTGTCTAGTACAACAAAGTACAGTGCACAATGTGTAATTCATATATGATGGAGCCATTTCCCTGATCATCGCCTTTTAAGTGTTTGCTCGATATGGTTCTATGTTATCCTTAATATTGTGGTAAACATCAGATAGTGAGCATGTAACTTAACAGACAAAGATAGTTAAAAATGAACTCCTAAAGGTAGACATGTAAGAGAGAGGGGAGGGCGAGGGAGGGCTCTATAACTGTAGCTCAAGTATGATGTTTTGGATGCTTTCTGTACAGAAGAACTCCAACTAGTATTATAAAAATGGGAAAACCTCTTTTCATATACTTTTCATCAATATTATTTATGGTCATATCTATTCTCTTGCAACATTCTGGCTGATCTCCGTTCCACTTCACGTTATATCAGCTTTCCTTGTTTATTTTATCAAATGTGAGCTGTCCTTCATTTGATACATCTTGCTTGGTTATCTCTGACATATTTGTGATTCCAATGATTGTTTTTCAGTGTTCTAGGGAGGGCTACATCAATCAGATTAAAGAGGAGGAAGGTGAAGGTTGCAACATTAACGGGTTTGTGGATGTCAATAAAGTAGCTGGGAATTTTCACTTTGCGGCTGGAAAATCTTTGCACCACTCGCAAAACTTTCTGTCAAGTTTATTGGATCTTCAACTGGGAAATTATAACGTGGGTGGTTCACAGCCTGTTTTCCATTTTCCATGATCTTCCTTTCTGATTGTTGGAGGCATTTCATATGATATTCTGTTGCGTCTGCCATTGTATTTACTGTTCTCATTTTCAATAAAACCAGATAAGCCACAAAATAAACAGACTAACGTTTGGAGAAGATTTCCCTGGTGTAGTCAACCCACTTGATGGGTAAGTGATAATTCATTGTCTCCTTTGATTCTACCATTCCTTTTCACACACTATCCTATTTTATTTGGTTTTGGCAAAATCTCAGTGCACAATGGATGCATCACACGTCATCTGGGATCTATCAGTATTTTATCAAAGTGAGTACATGTTGTTTTCATTCTTGTTTTTTAAATTTATGCATATTTATTCTGTGTTCTTAGGCTTTATATTTATGAGGAAGTATTACTGAGAAACTGAGATTTTTACGCAGGTGGTCCCAACAATCTACACAGATTTAACAGGACACAAAATTCACTCCAATCAGGTAATTGGTTTGATCCTAGTTCTCGTTATATTTGGGAGAAACATAGTCTTAGATGATTAAATTTTAAACTGCAGTTTTCGGTGACTGAGCACTTCAGTGATGAGCATGTTTATCCTAATCCCCCTCCTGGGGTATACTTTGTCTATGACTTTTCTCCAATCAAGGTAAGGGACTACATTATATAGTTGATTTTAACTTTGATCTTGAATCCTGATTGCATGATCATCTTGATTTCTATGAACCACTATTTCAACCACTGATATTTAATCGAAGAATAAAATGATGAGAATTCTTATGAGTGATGTTGTTTTCTTTTCATCAATGTCGAACAAAGGAACAGAAATCAACAGGGAATTAGATGACTGTCTGAACTGATAGGTCATAGTCTTTTATAAATTTTTTTGTTAGAATTACAATTAGGGGCTGTTTGGTTACGCCCCCCAACCCCCAAAAAAATCAAAGAAAGGCATTATAGCAAACACATATCCATAATATTTTGCTTATCCTTGTTTGGTTCACTCTTTAAAACAAATAAGTGACGTGACACTTTCTTATTGGATGTCATGACCCATAATTAAGGAAACCCATTTCATGGGTTTTTTTTTAGGGCCTGTTCGTTTATTTCCTAAAAACCAAGAAATGGAAATGGAAAAGGTGGAAATCTCAAAATAATCCATTTCTTCCATTTCCATCCCTAAAACTCACCCACAACATCCAATAAAATATTATTTTCATCCAACAACTCATCCACATCATCTAATAAAATATTATTTTCATCTAACCACTCATCCACCACATCTAATAAAATATTATTTTCATCTAACAACTCATCCACCACATCTAATAAAATATTATTTTCATCCAAACATCACTCAACTCATCTCTTTTCATCATTTCAAATCACACACATCATCGAATAAAATATTATAACAATTCACCTCATCTCATTAACATTTCATTTCTTTGTTTTCATCCCAAAAAGTTGTGAAAATATTTTTCTTAATCTTTCTTCACATCACCCAATAATACAATGACAACTCATCTCATCTCATTTCATTTCTTATTTTTAAGAATGAACCAAACAAAAGAAAACAACAAAACTACATGAAATAGGTTTCTAATAATTCATTTCCTTATTTTTTTCGCCAACCGAACAACATCAAAACTAGTTTTTTTTAAAAATCACTCACATCATCCAATAATAATGTGACAACTCATCTCATCTCAATTTCTTTGATTTCCTTTTTTTTTAGCCAACCAAACAATTCAAAAACCCATTTTTCTTAGAAATAGTTTTCTATTTCTTTGATTTCCCATTTTTTTAAGGCAAACGAACAGGCTTATAGGAAATGGGTAGAAACCCTCTGCGATGGTTTCCTTCCCCAATTTCTTTTACAAGCTAAGAAACCAACCAAACAGGCCCGAGTAGGATCTTCTTCATGGCATCCAGGCTAATGGAAAGATATAACCAATTACAACCTCCTTGTATCTTCAGTTTATTTGAAAATTATTTTGCTCATTATGCGCAATGGATAAAAAGGGGCTTTTCCTCTCATTTCTTCAAGGGTAGTCAGTCTGTTCCAGTCTTTAGATTGTTAATTAGCAAAGTTCCTTACGCATGGAAAGCCAGCAGAGGAGAAATTCTTTGGGAGGGCTGTTCTATCAGTCTTTAATTATAGGGTTTTTGCATAAACTTCGTGTTATGTGGGAATCATGTGATGACGAGACTTTTTAAATTTTCCAACTTAACAAGATTTCCATGTGTTTAAAAGTAACTAGAAAACATTCCAACACGGAATAGGCGGTGGATGTATGTGCGAACAAAATAGAAAAGGAGATTAGGGCAGGGGATGTGCGTGTTTGGCACCGGGGAAGTACATGGAAAGTGCACCGAAAATTGGAAAGTGGCTCCCCTTTCCATTTTTATCCCATTTGGCATTTGGCAAGTGAATGGAAAGTGATTGGAAAGTGAAGAGTGCTATATCAGCATTTTAGCCCGTATCACTTTCCCCAAAATTTGAGGAAAGTGGATGGAAAGTGAAGAGAGACGAGAGAGAAAATGTATTTTTAGATTTTTTACGTATCATTTTACTTATGCTTATCCACTTTCTACTATTCATTCCATGATAACCAAACACAATAAGAAGAAAGTAAGTGCCGCATCATTTGCCATCTCAGTGTTCTCTCCTTTTACTTTCTAACATCCAAATACAATTTTGCAAAATAGAACGTAATAAGAAAATACCTTCATGAGAAAGTACTCTCTCTTATTTTCACCTTCTATTTACTTTCCCCTTGCCAAACATGCCTAGTAATATAGAAATGTATCTCCACCTTCATAACACTTGTTTGTATTATATATATGAATTTTATGTATAGGTTGTACTCAATGTGCTAAAAGTGTAGACAACTCAATTCCTTCAGTATTTTTCATATGTTTCCATTGCAAATCACGGTATGGAATAATTTTTGCTCCTACTTTCACATTTGGAATTGCAGGTGATCTATACCGAAGGAAGCACACCGTTCCTGCACTTCCTGACAAACATATGCGCTATAATCGGAGGTTTATCTCGTAAACCCCTCATTTATTTGATTTATTGGTCTATTTCAATGTTTATTTGTGATATTAGTTGTTAAACATGTCATTGAGGTTCTCAACAAAGTACTCCACCATGTTTGAAATCATCATCTTCGTATTCTACCCACAGGTGTTTTCACCGTTGCTGGGATCATCGATTCCTTCATCTATCACGGCCAACGGGCAATTAAGAAGAAGATGGATCTTGGGAAGTACAGATAATTTAACGATGTCCGATTTTTTTCAATTGCTTTTATGAGGATGAACTGTCTGTTTCGCGAAGAACAATTCGAGGAAACAGAAGGCGATGATGGCGGGTGAACTATCGAGATTGACTGATGAACTCTGATCACCCAATTTTGTACCTTATATATAACTTTATTTTATTGTAACATTATTTCATTATTGAAGCATCACTTGCATATTTGGTCATCATCAAATCGTTGTTCAACGTACTCAGTTTCACCGATGCCTGTTTCCCTATCTATCACGGGTTAAATGAGATTCGATCCTGAAGCAATTTCGGGGCAGTTACTATTCTAGTGTCATTGTTGCAGATAGACCCGTGGTCTAATATTGGGGTCGAAAGTTTGACACAACGATACGACAGGGGCCTAGGTGCAATTTACCGAACAATTTACTACTGTTGCATCTTAGGGGCTGTTTGGTTCGTTTCCTTGATATAGAGAAATGCAATTCTATATAAAGAAACACAAGTTTTGAGTTTTCCAAACTTTTTTAAGAAATAGATTGTTTTGCTTTGGTTCGCACATAAAAAATGGTGGGAAACCAATGTATTTATTTTTCTTGTGTTTGGTTCGCATAGAAAAAAAAAGGAAAACTTTTGTAAACAAAGCAGAGAAGGAAAAAAATCTGACGTGGCAAAGTTTTCATCAATTTTACTTGGTTGGGGAAGAAAATCGGAGAGGGAAAAAAATCTTAGTTGGTGGCGATTTCAACAGAGTTTTTCTTCTTCCATCCGAGCGAACCAAAACGGCACAAAGAAATGGACAGAAACAAAAAAACTAACGTGGAGGGCTAAAAATCTAACGTGGAGGGGTTTTCTGAGTTTTCCACCCCTTATAATAGCGAACCAAACAGCCCCTTAAGCTAAGACTCTGATGAAAATACAATTAGTGTGGTGTCTTAATCTCCACCAACAGACAAAGCCTTCGAAGTTCGGTAGTTCCACCTCGGACATTTTTTTTTAAATCACCACCTCCTGCGATCAGATGATGGTGACAGGGGAGATGAACCTGAAGATCATCAAACCATTCCCTGTACTTGCAAAAGACAAGGCGTGGGCTCCACCAACTTGCCTACCTAGACGCCGTCAATAACGGTCCTGAAGGAACTACTAATAAAATAGGTAATACGACTAGTTACTAAGGGGCTGTTTGGTTCGTTTTTTAACTCGGTGGAAAAGTTTTACACCGTCTTCACATCAGATTTTTCGTGGTCACATAGGATATAAGCTTTCCGTCGGTTTTTTTCTCATCATCTTTGGTTCGCTAGGGTTAAAGAAGGGAAACTCGGTGAAAATCGCCGCCACATCAGATTTTTTTCTCTCCCCCAATTCCTTCATCAACCTCGGGAAATCGACGAAAACTGCAGTCACGTCACCTTTTTGCCATATAAACAAAAGTTTTTACTTTTTTTCCATGCGAAGCATACACAAGAAAAATAAATATATTGGTTTCCCACCATTTTTTTTTGTACGAACCAAAACGAAACAATCTATTTCTTGAAAAAGTTTGAAAAACTAAAAACTTGTGTTTTTGTACATGAAAATGCATTTCTCTATATCTAAGAAACGAACCATAAATTAATTAATATTGAAATAAAAACCACCTCAATAGTTCTTTTTCCAATGATTGAAGGATAATAAACTCGGCTAATGCACACGAGCTAAAAGACAATAGATGCAATTGAAGTTAAATTGAAAAAGAATCAATTAATCAGAGTAATGATTGCAGATAACTCCACCCGTCCGCACTTTCAATGTTATTTATCTACTATTACCTTTTATTTATTAGAATGACTATTTATCTGTAGTGCATCTTTTATTTATTTTATTTTTTTAAAAAAATTTTGATCAAAAGCATAAAATTCTTAGGGGCTATTTGGTTTCCTGTTTTTGAGGGAAAGACTCTCTTGGAAGCCTGTTAAAAATATTATTTTTTGGCAGGCTTTCAAGTAAAATCGTCTCTTGCCTGCCAAAAAGTGACACTTTAGCAGACTTTTAAAGAAAAAATTTCTAACCAAAAGGACCCTTAATAAACAAGTTGAGGGAAAAGGTAATTGCTTAGGAGATCAAGAAAACAATTATATTTATTTTGATCAAAAGCATAAAATTCTTAGGGGCTATTTGGTTTCCTGTATTTATTTATTTAATATTTAATATATATTTCCGGGGTTGATGCGGTTTTAACGGAGTCGGTGGCTGCTTCCACACGGAAGGACAAGGGAACATCAACAGTTGTGGGGCCCACGTATCTTATCTAATTAGAACCAGGCCAAAGAAAACCATCGACTTTACTTTAATAATGTGATAACCTTATATTATTATATGCTTAAACTTTAATTATGTGATAACCTTACATTATTATATGCTTAAACTTTAAGGACAAATTTTGAAACCAAACACCTTTTGAAACTTATTTATAAAAAAGGACATATTTACATCTTATTTGTCAAAACCGACTCAGTCAGCCATGTGGCTAAAACTAGGTCGGTTTTGTCCTAAAATTCACAGGACTTCAACTCCCGTAAAGTTTTGTTATGTAAAAAACTTCACAGGATTTGAAGTCCAGTGAAGTTTAGTATTTTTTTTCCGTCAAAGCCGACCTAGTTTCAATGTTAGTTTTGGCAAATAAGTTGAGAATAGGTCCTTGTTTATAAATAAGTTTCCAAATTGGTTTGTTTCCAAATTTTGTCCTAAACTTTAATTATTTGATAACCTTATATTATTATATGCTTAAAGGGTAAACACAAGTGTAATGAGCGAGTAGGCAGAGGAAGAGAACTAGGGTTTGCATCAACTTTGAAGCCGCCACCTACTCCACTGGTAATCCCTTTCTTCCCTGACAATATTTTCAAGTTCAAGTTCTGATTTTGATGCTGTGGGGGGCAAAAAGATCCAGTTTTGAGATGATATTCAGTAGATTATACAGTTGTTTTGAAATTTGTTACTGAAATTAGTAGTCATGGCTTTTATGTGGAGCTTCTGTTAATTTAGTAGCTTCTTTCAGTGATGATTATGCTAATGTTCTTTGAAAGTATGCAATGAGAACTTACTTATATATTGAAAGGAACAATAAAAAAGGGAAGGAGGTGATTGACATATTAATCACAACCGTTTCCCAAAAAAAAAAAAAAATTGTTGACAACTATGGCCATTCAAGTGTTTCTTCGGGTTTTAATTCTGTCTGCTGTCGAAAAGAAAAGAGAAATTTGACAAATTTAAGCAACCATGTAGTCGTCAGTTGCTAGATCATGGGGCACATAATCCTCGTCAGGTCCCGTTAGAGGGAAATTATGACCTTGAACCCTCACCACAATTTCAGAGTTTTGGTGCGGAAGAAGCTTTGACTTGTTGGCACTAGAGCAGTCCAGGTTCAAATACCACTAGCCGCATAAGCGGATTAACAAAGCATAAGCCCGGTGAGAGAAGGGCTCGAAGTTTTTTGATGCAGCGGAAGGGACTTTGAGAGGCCTCAATAACATCATAAAGATGGGAAAGTAATGTAGGCTTAGTTGACTTCAGATGCTTGGTCCTCTAATTGATGCAAAAATTTGCTTTGTTTTGGTTGTTCTTTTTAGGGAGAATGCTTAAATTAGAAATCAAAGTCAATTGCTTAAAATCAAAGTCAACTGACCATATTTTGTATTACGGCTTATTTGATATGAAGTTAACAAAAAAAACTTCATTCTAGGTAGGGGTTGGTTTATTTTCATTTTTCCTATGATGCATAAAAAAGTATATCTTATGGTAAGAAATGTTGTTTATGTTTTCATAAGAGGCTTAAGAGGGCGAAAAATAACAATAACATGAAGTGGGTCTGACTATGATATCCTTCTTAAGATTTTAAAGTTAATTTCAAAAAATTTCTCGTAAGGTGCCAAAAACATTTTCCCTTAACAAAAGATGAATCTTTGATTTAGTTGATCGTGTCATTTAAAATTTACAAATGACTAATCTTTCTCATTTAACGCAAATGATGCAAACATAGTCTAATGTATAGGTGGGTATGTTCTCTTTCAGAAACAATGCAAGGTGCCATGCAAGCAATCCGAGTGCATGGAAATGTTCTTAGACGTGCTGTTCTTCAACATGTTTGTGTCCTAAGTCCGGCAACGCAACCAGTTATCTTTTCACGCTCCGAGTCATCGGTATCTTCTGCCCAACAGCTCGAAGAGCACGGATTCGAAAGCACCAGAGTTTCGGACGTTTTGAAATCGAAAGGTAAAAGTGCTGATGGTTCCTGGCTTTGGTGCACTACCGAAGACTCTGTTTATGATGCAGTCAAATCGGTATGTACTTCTTCTCTCTCAATTGAATTCTCTTTCTGATGAAGTAGTAGATCTTTACATGAATAGTTTCTGCTTGAGCTTTTCCTAATAAGATTGGTGGTAATATCAGATGACTCAACACAATGTTGGTGCTTTGGTGGTGGTGAAATCTGGAGGAGACAAAGCCATTGCTGGAATCATTACTGAGAGAGGTAATAATAGTACATCTCACAATTGATTTTAACTGCTGCATAGTAGTCTCAAATGTGGGCGTATGTGCGTAGAATCTAAAATTTTATTTTGTTCTATCGTTACTTTCTTACAAATTAATGATGTAGATGGTTGACCTGTTTCTTAGAATAATTGCGAGTATTTTGAGTGGTTCAAGCTATCAACTGTTTTGCAATTATCAATAAATATTTGTTCCATCATCCATTAGTATATATTTTCATGTAAATGCCATGTAAATAACCATCATGACAAAAAAGTTTATGAACAAATTTCTCATTATCATTCTGGCCTCGGTTCAGCTAAGTAGATGGTATAGAGAAAACAAGCTGAAGATGCCTCTCAATTGTTTTTCACGCTCATGTACGGATGTCGTGTAACTTCTCGTGCAAAACTAAAACTTATTAATCGTATGGTCATGATTTTTTTATTTATTTCAGGAATCATTTACTTGAGATCAAGTTTTGGTCTCAGAAATGAAATAGATGTTATTTAAAATGGGGCGAAGGGCGATCTTGTACACGGTCATATAAGTGAACATAGAGGGGGTAAATAAGTGATATTCCGTTTATGGAATATTTTGTTACCTAAAATTGTTATTGATTGATTAACTAATTGAATCATGGGAAACTACTGAAGCAGAAGTTACAGAACCGAAGGGATATGGAACAATGCAGTTTTCTGAACTTAAGCTGAAGAATTAGAGGACCTTATTTTTCTATCCCTAGAACACTTCAAGCTATGGTATATTCTTTTTTGTGTCCTACAAAGTCAAAATCAAATATTTTCTTTTATATTTCAGATTATCTCAGGAAAATTATCGTACAAGGAAGATCATCTAAGTCAACCAAGGTCGGGGACATCATGACTGAGGAGGTATGCGTGAACTGCTTGTTTTTTAAATATGGGGTTTTGACAAGATTTTTTTCTCTTAATTTGTTATGTTCATAGTTGAACGATTGGTTAAGAAGGATAGGATAGTAGTTAATGGTTAACTTTGTTCTTTGTGGAATGATCATTTTGACTTCATTCAACAGAATAAGCTGATCACCGTCACACCAGAAACCAAAGCTCTCCAGGCAATGCAACTGATGACAGGTTAATGAATGACGATGCCATTTATTTTAATTTGGGTTTATCCTTAAATTTCAGGAGATTGTTTCTAAACATCCAGTTGTCGATACTGGCAGATAACCGTATCAGGCACATCCCCGTGATTGACACAACGGGTATGGTTGGCATGGTGTCCATTGGCGATGTTGTTCGTGCGGTGGTGAGAGAGCATCGCGAGGAGCTTAATCGGCTCAATGCTTTTATACAGGGTGGTTACTGAATGATGATGTCGAAAAGAAATAATAGAGTGGCTTATGGAACGGCGAGAGTTCAGCCCCTCTTGAACCAGTATGAGCATGTGTAAATAATGTTGTGGTCGCTTTCTTTATTAGTGTTTGTATGCTTTCTGGAGCTGTATCGTGTGTAACCGAAGGCGGTTGAAGTTGCTAATAAGATGCGTTGTTATGGCTACTGTGATTTCAAGCCCCTTGTGTCTGTTCAGATATATGTATTTTCTGGTTTTAGCGGAGATGTTTATTGCAATCATGCAATCTTATGTTGGCTGAAATGAGGCAAGGTGTATTGTTATGGGTATAAAAATCTACATGTAGGAGGGAGAGTATCCTGCAAAAATTTACACTTCATTGATGGAATAGTTTTACAATCCAATGCGAAACTGATCAGAGAGATATTATCCATCCTGATGAGACTCTGCTAACATTTCTTCCACTGAATCAGTGCAGCCAGGCTCTATCGACCTGCCTACCTAAGCTCCCCCCGGAGCATTTTGCTCTTATCAAACAAAAATACGTGCAGAATCCCGACGATGACCTCACCCTGCAGGTGTTGAGAATGTAGCAGGAAGGAGCACAGCCCAAGCCTCGGCCTTGGACGGCCAGACCCCATGTCTGATTCTTGATGTCACTCTCATCGTCGTCGTCGTTGCTGCTGTGATTGAGTTGTTCGATTAGCATGAGACCGTCGGGTGTCGAATCGGTTCGGTTCCATTTGTTTTTGATGAGAGGCCAGTTCTCAGGGGAGGCTTCGGTTGCGTGTAGCTGAGGGATCGAAGAGGGTCCCTGAGAGGAGATTTCTACTAGTACTGGGGTTTCCCTGATGTTCTTCACAATCTGAGAAGAGAAAGGAACAAAAGTTAAACAAACTGATTAATTCATGCATAGGTTTTCATCAAGAGCTAAAATTACCTGTTCTGTCAACTTCAAACATTAATTGGGTATTTTCATGAAAAAAAAAAAAATTCTCATACCTCACCAATGGAATCTCTGATCCAGTGATCCATCTCCTCTGCACTGACAGAATCTTTCTTCTTCTTCTTCTTCTTATAATCAAACACACCCGTCGCTGCTGCTGTCGCTGCCGCTGCTTGATTCTGATTCAACGGACACGTGCTCGACGTCGAAGAGGACGAACCGTTAATCGTCGAACTGTCCATCTTCATCATGCCCTTCATCTTCATCATCAAACAACATGGACGAGTCTTACTATGATCATTGAGAGCACTTGTGTTGAATCCTGTAATAACATTGCTCGAGCCCAAAAATGTTGACAGGGCCTCCATGCATTGACAAATAATTGTGAGTTCAATACTTTAGAATCCCCCTCCCTCTCTCTCTCTCTCTCTCAATCTTAATTGTGCTTCTTATTAATTTATATGAAAAATTGTCGACCTTTTAGATTTCACAACTGAATCCTACACAAAGCAGGAGGTTGGAAAGAAACAGACATTCATCCGACGTGGCTCATGCGAAAGCTTACGTGGACCGCATCAGTTGGACGGATCGTGAAGGGGTGGGGCCGGGATGAGAATCGCTCGTGGTTGCACGAGAGAAACACGCGGGGAAGTGTGAGGGCCACGTGCCTCGCCTCGTGGGAGGATTTTGCTTATAAACCCAAAGTTGCGCTTCCACATACGAAAAAACCAATCTAGACTCAAAATACTAGGTTTGTTTACCTTTAAACCCAAAATATAGAACACATGGTACATAGCTATATACAATTGGATATGTAGATATACATCCTACGGTATGCGGCTGTAAATCCCAAGTATGTAGTTATACAGGCTGTAATGCGTAGATAAACACCTATAGAATCTAGCTATACACTTCCTAGTATGCAGTTATATGCTTTTTGTTCTGTATTTTGGGTTTGAAGGTAAACAATCTTAGCGTTTTGGGCTTAGTGAACATATAGAACTGGGGGGTTTGTGTTTTTGGTAAACAGAACTACAACTTCGGGTTTATAAGCAAAAAATCCCTTAAAAAGGAATTTTTCAAAACAGCCCCAAAATGTTTTTTATTTTTCAAAATCGACCCGTTTTTTTTATTTATCAAAATCGACCCACTTTTTATCACGTTGGCTTAATGACGTTCCTAAACAGTCGAGATTGCCAACCCTAACTGTTTAGGACATAATAATTTCGGGTTTAAGGGTTCTAATTAGAATTTAACACCCTCCTAAACAGTCGGGGTTACCAACCCCGACTGTTTAAGAACTTCATTAAGCCCACGTGGTACAAAGTTGGTCGATTTTGATAAAATAAAAAAAAAATCAGGTCGATTTTGAAAAATAAATTTTTTTTAAGGCTGTTTTGAAAATTTGTTCATCCCTAAAAGGTATATGTTTCCACATCCTACCCTATCGAATATGGATGTCAATATCAGAAATTGAATCTCCAAATCAACATAAACCACCATATTTTGATTACGAACCAAGTACACTCAACACCTAAGGATCAGCATCATGCAAAACCAATGGGAATCACATAGCGCCAGAGACAAACCCACTATGGATGAGATGTCTCAGTGCTCAACATCATAATATACACGGCCTTACTATATTTCCAACCAAAAGTGCTATGGTTGCAAATTATGTCATAGGTTAATTACAAGATCACATACTCTCAAATCTCAATACAGCATAGACAGAGGTGTTGCAGTGTTTTCTTCTTTTATTTAGCTCTCATCTGTACCTTTCTCTGAAGCCTGGACCTCTTCAGTTTCGTCATGGCTTTGATTAATATTGTTGTTTTTCGTTTTAGCAACCTCGGCGTCTCTTTCGGAAGAGTGCAGCCCTTCAGTTTCCTCCTTGCTTGGATCAACTTCCTTAACGTCAGTTTCATCAGAAACAAGTTGGCCGACCTTAACATACTTCTCCATGAATTTGTATTCCCAGTCTTGCAAAACTTCCAACTCTGATGAGCTTAAACCTTCGAGGTTTCCAGTGAGGTCGTTTGGATCAAAGGACATGAGTGCTAGAGCTCGGCTTGCATCCCTCCCCGCAAATAAGGCATAAGGTCCACCAGGTCCATAGAACATCCTACAAGAGAAAAATACCAGAAAGATCAACTTAGAGATGTGGACCTTGGCAAAAAATTCTATAGGGATAAAGGAGAAAGTGACGTTGCCACACATTTTAAAGCTGGTACTTGATAAAGTGTTCTGATTGCACTAATATTGTATACCGATTGCACTGATAACTGATGTTATCCTTCACTGCGTCACGTTATCCTTCCTTCCTACATGAATTTTATACAGGGATCTAAAGGATTTTTTCCCCCGTGGACTGACTGCAAGCTTTTAGAGGGTAGTAAGCTAAGTATTTATTTTTAAGAAAGGTATATAACCATGTTGACTAGTAAATGCTTGTGACAGGTTCGAACCAGATGGCGGTTATGGCAAACTTCATTAACAGCTAGTATTAATGGAAAACACCTAATTATTATACTCAATTAGAATCAAAATGTGACGAATCAATGCCTCAATTTAGTCCTGAGATTCGATTTCTTTTCCATAGATCAACTGGAATACTTAATAAATGAGAAGATAATGACCCTTGACAAAGAAATAACCTACTTGACTGACAAACTACAAGAATATAAGGCATCAAAATAAACTATCAAGTAAAAGTAGCACATAAACATGCACAATATCTAAACAAAGAGCAAAGAAAATGTTAAATTTGCATTTCAGATGGTTAACTTCTTGCTCTTTTGCCTTCTCTTTGAAGTTTGGTAGATACATTTGAACACTTTCATTAATCAAAGTCCAAGATTAAGAACACAGTGGCATCAAGGAATTTAGATAAATTACTGTATCACATATACGTAAAGCTTCCTTGGAAACATGACAGCTTGTCTAAAGAACTCGCGAGAGAAAACAAAAACGAGAGAAGTGCGATCTGAAGGTGTAAAGAGAGTATATGTGGAGCATATATCAGTACTGCTGGGCTTGATCTTTTTGCCCCATGTGGATATGAAGGTGTAAAGAGAGTGGCCATGGAGCAGATATTGGCATTGCTGTGTTCGAATTTCTTTTTTCTCTCATGCGGGTATGAATATTGAACTCACGATCCATATTTGATAGCAAACTATCTATATTGAACTCACTATCTATATTTGATAACAAACTCAGACAAGATATGATGGAAAGAAATCTTATTGAGTATAAATAAAGTTTAGAAGGAAACACGTGTTATGCCTTCAAAATTAATAAACTTAAGTTATATGGAGCAGCATGTTCCTGTATATTGAATATGTATCCAGATATCCAAAGATCTATTGAGATGCGCCAAATGCTTTACAACTATCCAATGCGTATCGATATTCCAAAAGAACAGAATAAGGATACCCATATTTGATAAAACACATTTGGATCAGGACTAAATTATTTGTATCAATCTACATCCCTAATATGAACAAATTACCATTAGCCCTATGGTAATTGCGTGTGATGATAAGTCTCGTTAACATTAAGTAAACTTCTAAGACCCCATTTTTGTGAAGATAGGGTCTAGAGGAAGGGAACTTAAATCTCATAAACCCTCATGGTCAGTGTAAAACTAAATAAATCATGAGAAATCCAAAAGTGCACACTGATTCATTCTTTGGGCCTTGAACTACAGTTTTCTGCTTCCATTAGAGAAATTTAGCTGTTTGAGTTATTCTTCCAATATTTATAGATCTGAAACCCGTGAAATATCAACATTCCACAAAATCATCTTTCACTGAGATAATTAGGGGTGGAAACTAATCGAATTGTAAGATATTTACATTCAAATTCAGTGTATTTGTCAGTATTTGAATTCAAAATCTTGCTTCATCTGTCAGTGATGAATTTCGAATTCGATTTGCGTACCAACCGATATTCAAAATGAAATTTGTTTATATATTACCGTGTCCCATATTTATTTGCATATATTCACTTAAGACATTCATGCGTCTTTGCGCGTATTGTTCAATAACTGTTTGGTACAACAACAAACTACCTTAACATATTTGTGCACCGTACTCTACAAATACCACATATAGAAATCAACAATGGAGCAACAAAACATGTCTCACAAAATATAAAGGCTAACAAATGTGAACAAAAAACATGTACCTGCATAATATAATTGATTGATACTAAAACCACGTTTATCATCAAATTGTGCACCAGGATACACATACGCAATACAGAGAAATCAACAATAGAGCAACAAAAACATGCTTCCATACATTATAGAAGCTAACGAATAGCAACAGACACATGTTCATTAACAACAATTAGAAAAGAATTCCCAATGGAGTAGTGTCACTCGCCTTTAAAATAAATTAGAAGACAAAAAAAACTACTTCAAGTATCAAATCTGACATATATAGTAGAAGTATTCATACAAAAACAAAATCTTCTCACATATCCTGAAACTTCATAGTGAAGGACTAAAATGCAAAAACATAAATACACACTTAACAGTCCAACAAATCAAATATGCAGCTTCAAAACTTCAATTAGTTCACAAATCAAATACCAAAAGAGTAATCTTTACTACTAAATGGACTAACTTGAATACAATCTACGAGCTATTTATTAATAGTTAGATCAATACCACGAACCACGCATCACCAAATTTAAAAGGGGAGGAAAAACAAAAGGGAAAAAGAAGGAAAAAGAAGACAAATTCGCTATATCTAGAGGTTCGAGAATCGCATACCTGGACCTCGAGACATCGTAGATGTTCCCCTTGATCGCCATCAGCAGCGGCTTCTTAGGGTCGGACCCATCAAAGACCTTGAGCTCCTCAAGCGTGACGTCACCCAACTGCGTCGGAGATAGACCGAGGTATGAATCGATCGCCGCCGTGAAAGCGGAGTAGATGCTCATCTTGATTAGGGTTTTTTCGCAGGGTTAGGGTTTTGGAAGAGAATGGAATTGGTACCGGAGGGAGTTGGCGAAGAGAGGCTCTCTAGCTTTGGCGACCACGCTAAGATTTCGGCTAAATAGCATTTTAATACCTTGTAGTTTCACTTATTAAAATTTTACTTTCAGGGGCTGTTTGTTCGAAAAAAAAAAAAGGAAATGGGGCGCCACGTGAGATTTGGGGAAATGTTAATAGTGTCACATCAGATTTTGGTTTCAAGAGATTTTCAAATCATAAGTTTGTTTCGTTGTGTGATTTAGGGGCTGTTTGTTTTGCTCAAAAAAATGAGAAATGTCCCGCCACTTCACCTTTCAAGAAAACTCTCATGTGCCACATAGGTTTTTGATTTCAAGAGGTTTCCATTTCATGTGTTTGCTTCGTCTTTAATTTTCAAGAAATGAAGTGACACATGTGCTGCCACCTTAATTTTTCAAGAAATGTGTTTTCAGCCCAAATTGGGCTGAAAACACTTGGAAATGTCCCATCAGAGAATAGTTAATTAATAAAAGCACTGTTTGAATAGTTCAAAAGAATAAAATGAAATATTTAAATGCCACATTTCTCATTTCCTTTTTCTTGTTCTCAAACAAACACAAGAAATAGAAATCAAAGCACTGTTACTATGGAGGCTTTTTTTGTCTTTTTGTATGACTTGGCTTTGAAAATGAATCTTTTCTTTGCGAAACAAACAAAAGAAATGAAAACTAAGAAATGTCTTGAAATGTCTTGAAATCATTTCAAGAGCTACATTTCCATTTCCGATTTTTTTCGGAAAACAACCAAACAGCCCCTTAAAGAAATGAGGGTGATGCCACGCCAGATTTTGGATAAAACCCACTTCAGACCAAAACCTTCTGAAATAGGATGGAAATGTCATATCGGGGCAATATTTTATTGCCCAAAACACTGTTAAAACGGCGGCTGAAGATTAAAAGGTAATATTTAAATGTTGAAATCACTATTGAAACGAAGGCTGAGTTCTGTTTTCTTTTTTTTTTTTTTTGTGTTTAAACGAACCCAAGAAATGAGAATGTAGAATTAAAAGGCAATATTTAAATGTTGAAATCACTATTAAAACGACGGTTGGGTTTTCCATTTCTTTGATTCCAATGTGAAACAATCAAAATAAAAGAAATGCAGGAAACCATCTGAAATGTCTTAAAATGGGTTTTCAAACACTGTTTTCCATTTCTTCTTTTTTTCGGAAATGTACCAAACAGACCACGATAGAGGGTATTAATAAGAAAACGTTAAAAAACTTAAGATGCGTAAATTCCGTGACAAACAAATAAAGAGATATTAAATTGGATTCAAAGTGAGTGAAACTATAAGATATTCAAGTGCTATTAAACTTAGGATTTACTGGGGAAAAAAAATTGATATTAGTTTATAATCTTAGTTTGACAAATTTACTATTTTGACAAACTACTATCGTAAAATAATTTGGAGCCAAACAATTTTATTCATATTTCTACTAGTTTATATAAAGAATTACGATCGATAGGTTAGTTACTTATTCAAGAGGTTAAGATCTAACAACTTTTAGTTGGGTAGTTTATAACAAAACGATTAAGAAGATAATATTGTTGCTAGGTTATTCGATATATTTGATTCTTAACACTCCCCGTCAAACTGCAGCATAGATACGTCGAAGTAAAGTTTGTCTATGATCACAAACACGATGCTGACTTTGTCTGATAGAACACGAGATGTGATCGAAGAAGTCGCCGACCATGAAAGGCGACTCTGTAACTTGAAAGTGGAGGTGATTTGTCATTGATGTCGAAGTCGCCTAAGGGGAAAGGAGAGCTGATGTCCCCCTCGACGGTCCCTGAGGATTGGAGTCATTAGGAGAGATTATAGACTTGGGAAACCTCCTCGGATACCATGTAAAATTAATTTGGAGCCAATCAATTTTATTCATATTCCCACTAGTTTATGTAGAGAGTTAGAATCCAATAGGTTAGGATTTACATAATCAAGAGTTTGAAGTCTAATAAACATTCAGCTGGATAGTTCACAAACAAATTGAAATAGAATATAATATTATTGCAGGGTTTTTTGGATATACTAGTTGAGATGCACGTACAACACACGTGATTGAATATCATGATTATTTAAATTGATAAAAATAGAATAAAATAAAAAATAAAGTTTTTTGTGGGATTGATCATTGTTCCCTTCAACCCAAATCGTGTTCACGTGATCTACTATTTGTGAGTTGTAAACACATTGATCTAGTACAACATCTTTGTTTATTAGTATCTTAAAGTCTTCAAAAGATGGGGGATCATTCAATTCGCAAAGGAATTTTACATATGAATTTACTTTCAATATGTCCATTAAGCTTTTAGTTGTGGTTTGACTCATATTCACATTAACTTTTAGATGTGATTTCACTCATATTTATATCATCTAATATTCTCATTAAATGGACAAAAAACAAATGTAATCTAAAGGCAATTTTAATTTTCATGTGATTGGGACCGACATGAAACCAAGCTTGAAAGTATAATGTTGTAAAGGTGAAAAACACTTAAAAATAACGTTATAAAAGAAAGATGAATAATTGAAGCTAAAAACCAAGATGATTAATTAAACGTGAACTATATTGAAACTAAAGAGAATATGAAGTTGTTGCTAATTAATTGACAGGCTTCAGAAAAAAACCATAAACTAAAGATTAATGTTAACTCTAGTATATTTTATATGATAAAAGCATCCACATAACCATATAAAAACATTTAAAAGAGTTTATGAAAATCCTTTCGAAAGATTCCTGGTATTACTCAAAAAATTAAACTATTTTATAAAATTTTCATAAAATTAAACTATTTTATAAAATATTCATAAAATAAATCTTTTATTCTTTCTGTTTTTTGACTTAAGATCAATCCTTCTCCACCTTTATATTTTTCCCCTGCAATTCTAGAGTTGTGTCTTCATCGTCTGTATTGATTGTAACATCAGACTCGAGCTGGATTTCTTGTGCTATTATTTGTCCCTAACCTCGCTCATGTTTTGTCTTCTCCTCTTACTTCACAAAAAAGTTGATTTCATTTTTTATGTTCAACAGAAATTTTAGAAATATAAACTTTGATTATTTTTGTGTTCAATGAGACTATATTTTAATTTCATATATATGAAAATTTTGTGTTTCAAGTTTATTTTTTAAATAAGGTTAGGAGTTATCTTTTTTTCTCTATAATTCTTCTGGTGTGCATCCAATAAAAGTTTCTGTTGTGTTAAATAATATTACTTTTACTTTATTTGTGTTATTTTCCACAATGATCTGAACTAAATAATTATATTTTTCGTTATCAAATTACCTTGGATTATAATGTTAATATTTAATCTTGATATGTTTATTTCATGAAGACGGGATATTACTCAACCTTGGTATTACCTCATTTAGTGATTCTGTGATATTTATTATTTGGACATTCTTATTAACATCTCTATCCAACATTCTTTTTGTAGCATTTGCAAGCTAGAATCACAGCTTAACTTTATTGTAAATGCTAGTTATCTTTATATTATAGGTTCAATAGTGTGTCCGTATATTGGTAGAGTATTTTTAAGTTTAATTATGTAAATTTTAAAGTAGGTCTTATAAGACCATACCTCTTTAATATTGTGATGATTGCATATATCAATAGTTTAAATTTGTATTGTATTTGTAAAGAGCCTTGATGGATATGCTTCTATTTTAGCAGTCTGCTCTGAATAAGCCATGCATATTAGCTTTAAAGTATAATATTTTTTTCTTTATTGTGTTATATGGATGTTTGCTTGGTTTACTTACCATTCTTTTATTTCTTAAATAAGTTGTATCTTTGTGTTGGTATATATTGTTAACATAATTTACGATAAATGTATATTTTCTCTACAAATTTGAGATAGATATAATGTGAATTTTATGTTTAGTAACCTTTAATAAGAATTTTAGTAGTAAAATATGTTACTTTTATATTTAAAGATCTTGAAATCTGACAGTGCTATTATGTACTTATCTTTAATCGTATCTTTAAAAATTGATCCTTTATTGGTAGTCATATCCCCAAATAAATTTACTTGTAGGTTCATACCGCCATATAGGAAAAAGAAAAATATCAATTTTAAATTTTTTTTACTTATGCTATTGTAACTAATTATCATGTGTATATCTTTTGTCCATTATAGTGATTTTCCTCATCTTATCTGGCTTATTATATCTCGTAACATAGCTGATCAATGACTTTACTTTAGTTTCTATATAAGATTATTTATATGTAATTTTGTATTAAATTTATGATTCCTTTAGTATTTCAAGAATAAAGTATGAAAATTTATAAATACTTACTAATTTTTCTTATATCTTTCATGAAGAATGCTTTTTTGATTAGGACGAAATTGTTCAATATGTTCTTCAAGGGGAACTCATTGGTGATCTTTGCTAGATATACCTTTTGTCAATGTCTGTTCAAGTGATTCATGAATGTTTTCGAATTTTAGGTTTATATACTTCACTTCTCTATTTGAAATAAAATCAACTTGATTTTTTTAAATGATATCTCTGAACTTTCTGATAGTTTCTCTATACAAAATTTCTTATATTTTTTATTATATAAATATTATTAACATTAGAAATGAATGTTTATACATTATAATCAATTAATGCTAACTTATTATATTATAGTCTTTTGTTAGTTTTATGTAATTTAGTCTTCTATCAATAAATGTTATTACTAAAATTATATGTAGTTCCTTAAATTTATCCAGTAATATTAAATTTTAATCTGTCATATATTTTTAAAATTTTTATTCCTTAACTAGATAGTTTTAATCTATCGTAATTGTTATTTTTTACCAGCATCAATTTAGACTACTTTTAGATGCTGAAAAGGGATGATAAACTTTAAACTGAAACTTAAATTTATTTAAACTGAAACTTAAATTTATATATCTTAATAAAAGAATATTAAATATTTACTCTTTTCTTTGCCAATTTTCAGCCTTTTGTGGTTTTAAACTTTTGAGGGTGTGTTTTGTAATTTTTAATCTTTAATAGTATTTTTAAAAAAATTT